CAGACATACCGCTGTGCCACTGGGGGCCAAATAACGCAGTGAGAGACATAATTTATGTCTTTGTGAGAAAATGATAAGATCTAGCTTGTGCAAAGAAGAACGATGAAATGTAACGAGAAATATTCGAATTTTTTAATGGATTCTTTAGATATTTCTATTCCTCAAAACGTTTTTTTGTTAAATTATATTTTTTTGAAAGCTAGGCAAGTTTCCTCCTAGAACCAGGTTTTATGTAAGCTTTATCAGGTTTAGAATATGGTACAAAACGGCAAAATATTCACGAGACTCAAGTCCCTATCTATTTATAATTATTTGAAAGTTTACAGTTTTCAAAACATTGCCCATAAATAACTATTTATTTATCAAACCTAAAGTACAGGGGGGTCCAAAATTATCTTTCTTATTGTCAAATTTAATTATTAAATAGTTAAAGAAATAACCATGCAGTTTTCAACATCTTGTAGCCCAACTTAAACAGTTCTTATTGTCTTTTTTTTTTCACTCCGGTGAGTAGAGTTACCCCATAAAATTGCATCTGTACAAGAAAAGGCTCAATGCGATGGATTGGTCAGTGTGGGCCTATTCTGTGACCTCCGTATTTGCCAGACATCACTCCACTAGACTTCTTTCTTTGTGGGCATGTTAAGGTCATTGGGTATCACAAACCTATAGCTGCAACTAGGAACATATTGCAGCAAACGTGGACAGAAACTGAATATCGGTTATACGTGCCGAGAGATACTAATGGTACAAATGTAGAAGTTTACAGATAGGACAATAAAAACTGGATGATTGTATTTCTTTAGTTATTATATAATTAAATTTTAAAATAGGAAAAATAATTTTGAACCACCCTGTATATTTACCAGATATAAATTGATTTCCACTAAAAAAGATGCCTTTAGACCAGCAATAAACCTGTTAGTTTTGCTGTGTTTTATAATCAGAAGTCATAACTATTGTAATATTCAAAGTAAAGTATAAAAATAAATATGTTAATATATATCAGTCAAATTGGAACTGGCTAGATATATCAAATGGAACTTTCTGACCAACATTTAGAAAACAAAATCAAGTATTTTGATTTTTTTTTCCAAAACAGTTTCTCATAATAGCATTTTTGAAATTTCCCAACCTAAAAATGATAGAAAAACTACATAAAATAGCATGATTTTTGTAAAGCCAAAACTATATACTACTTCAGTTTATTCTAGATACTACTTAGTAAGTTTGTCCTATGTTTTATGAAATTTAAATACTTCCAACATGCGAAGGAAAAAAAACATTACGAGATGACTGGTTTAGAAAGGGTTAATGTAGAAGTTATATAAATTAAGAACACTGTTATGCCTAAATTTATTTTACTAAACACAGACACATACTGAATACCATATAATACAAGTTTTAAAAAGTTAAAAAAGTTATTTACCTATAAACTCAATGTCTGAAGTTCAGCCTACTTTCTAAAGAATTACCTGTAAACACATGGTCCTGAGTTCTGATGTTTTTACTTCACGAAGGAGTCTATTAACAGCCAGTTCCACAAACGAAGGAATACACTATAAGATAAAATTTACATGTAACCCACCACATTTAACATACCTTTGTGAAGAAACGCAAAGGTGTGTTAAATGTTGTGGGTTATGAAGAAACGCAAAGGTATGTTAAATGTTGTGGGTTATTATGAAGTAACGCAAAGGTATGTTAAATGTTGTGGGTTATTATGAAGAAATGCAAAGGTATGTTAAATGTTGTGGGTTATGAAGTAACGCAAAGGTATGTTAAATGTTGTGGGTTATGAAGTAACGCAAAGGTATGTTAAATGTTGTGGGTTATGAAGTAACGCAAAGGTATGTTAAATGTTGTGGGTTATTATGAAGAAATGTAACCCACAACATTTAACATACCTTTGCGTTACTTCATAACCCACAACATTTAACACACCTTTGCGTTACTTCATAACCCACAACATTTAACATACCTTTGCGTTACTTCATAACCCACAACATTTAACACACCTTTGCGTTACTTCATAACCCACAACATTTAACATATCTCTGCATTTCTTCAAAATAGCTTAAAAATCTTTCAGTAGTTTAAGGATGCAGCTGAATAAATAAGTCAAAATATGACACTGTTTACACTACTTTTTGTACTGAGCTAATCTTGATAAAACAGATGCTCAACTCCAATACAGTGGAAAAATACTGTATCCTTTCAATAAACTTTTCTGAAATATTCAAACTTCATTTAGACTTAAGTTTACCTAGGCTTTCCACATATTTTCTTGAAGGTACTTAAAATTTAGTTAGTCAATTAAATTCTTGCCATGCATTTACAAGGCATACAAGTCTGGTGCTTTCAAACTCTGGTTTCATGGGCACATTAAGATGAGAATGATGACCCATTCCCCAAGTAGGAGATAAGAGCTAACAGCCAGATCCTGTCATACGACTGGGTAGACTGGAACAAGTGGAATAAAACATCTTGTCCAATGACAACAGCACGTCACTGGCCAACCCCAGACTCGCAACCATCCGACTACGAGCCCAAAGTGCGAAGCCACGCTGCCCTTTGAAAGTACTTAAGTCCATAAGGAACTTTGTATTCTCTCTACTTTTAAACTAATAAGAAATACTTTCACTACATCCATACCTGATCAATTTGTCCTTTACACTGAAGAATTACTACCTCGAGCAATTTTGCAGCATGGCACTCGGCATCCTCGCAAGCATCACCAGTCAACACCTGCAAGTTGATTTCTACTTTGTACATTTTTCAAATTCCATGTCCCTTATCAGATTAAAACATTTAAACCGACAGCCATATACTTATATACTTTGTACACAGAAACTAACTAACTAACAGTTATGGTTCCTATAATGCAAACTACAATAAAATGTTGATGTTTAAAAATGTTAAATTGTCAAATTCTTTTATTGCATTTGCTGTATATTTCATAAAATAGATTACTTAATTAAGACCTGAGTTTAATACATGAAAACAGAAAGAAGACAAATGATTAAAACAGCAACATTTTCGTCACCCTTTGAAGACTTATTTCTCATAATTTATAATACAGTAAATTATTTTAGAATTAATTAAGAATAAGATTCCATCCAAAGTGAGATGTGAGCTCCCCCTGTCAAGGAAAACTATCACCATGGTTGCAGCACATTAGACAATACACCATTTTATCGTTTTCAGATTTTCTTAGGCCTTTAACTCTTTTCATACTGGCATCCTTTTCTGATGTTTTACTGAATTACATTCAAAATTTAATTAAACAACACTATCATCACAGTATACGAATATACTTGCTATCAATTCAAATTTTAATTACAGTTAAATGTTTTAGTTTTATGAGGCAATATTTAAAATAAAAATCCTCAATTCCCCTAATAAGAGAATTGTAACATATGCTCTCTAGGTATCCCCTCTTCTCAAATTTATTTACCACCCCTCCTAAAAGTATGAAATTTAACATAAACTTCTCATTATAATGTTGTAATTGCTCAGGCAAGAATAATTTTCACAGCCTTAAATCTTATTTGGTTACAGGACCATAAACTAGAAAATCAGAACCCTCTTGCCACACCTACCTGTCTCACAAATTGCCAATAGTTCTCTCTGACATTTAATACTGTATCATTTATAACCAATAGAAAGCCAAAGTTATAATCTATAGAATGGTGTACTACATTACATTGTTTTCTGTACAGAGAATTGTCTATTTCTCTTCCAGTTCAAACTTTATTCTCATGGGAAAAACATGAACGAGCTTAGCTGAATTTTTAACAGCTCTTGTCACATCTTTTGAAAGACAAAAAAAAATGTGGTAATTATAGTACATTGTCTGCTTTTATGTGTTATTATTCTGTGTTCTTTGGTGCATTACTTAAATAAATATAAAATTATTAAATGAAGTGGTATAAAAAAAAAGTAGGGTTACATTTCATTAAAAGTCAATAGCCAAAAAAGAAAGAAAAAGATCCAAGTAAGTACTATATTTCTTGTTTTTGATGTGTATTCTATAGTTATTATTATAAAAATAGTTAAAATGTAAAACTATAAACTTTTTTAGGTTGAATTAGGTAGAAATATAGAATAATAATAATTTGTCATAAAGTACACTCACGAATAGCTCAAGCATTAAGTAATTCGATAGGATAACTTGAGCTACATGTTTCCCAAGTATTACATTGTCAAACAATAGCTGACTTTAGTATCTACCAGTGGTTAACACATGTATTACATTGTCAAACACTAGCTGACATTAATATCTACCAGCGGTTAACACATGTATTACATTGTCAAACCCCAGCTGACATTAATATCTACCAGTGGTTAACACATGTATTACATTGTCAAACCCCAGCTGACATTAGTATCTACCAGTGATTAACACATGTATTACATTGTCAAACCCTAGCTGACATTAGTATCTTCCAGTGGTTAACACATGTATTACATTGTCAAACCCCAGCTGACATTAGTATCTTCCAGTGGTTAACACATGTATTACATTGTCAAACCCCAGCTGACATTAGTATCTTCCAGTGGTTAACACATGTATTACATTGTCAAACCCCAGCTGACATTAGTATCTACCAGTGGTTAACATGTATTACATTGTCAAACACTAGCTGACATTAGTATCTACCAGTGGTTAACACATGTATTACATTGTCAAACTCTAGCTGACATTAGTAACTACCAGTGGAATTTTGTTTTGTACCAGTCCTCCCCTGTTCACCTCCTCTTCAAGAACAATAATTTAATTTATTAGAAGGTTGTCTACAGTTGTTCAGACCCAGTTCACCTCCTCTTCACGAATAATAATTTAATTTATTAGAAGGTTGTCTACACTCGTTCAGAAACATAACAGTGGCATTACCCCAAATACATATTAGTATATTTCCAGTCATACAATTTCATACTCGATAATGATTTATAATCTATATTTTACAATAAAAGTTCTTTTGGAAATAGTTGCAAGCTTACAAACAATTGTTTCATTATACAAAAAAAAAGCTATAATATGATTGGCTGTCCATTTGTTTCCTAAGCTCAAAACATAACAGAATCAAATAAAAACTATCTAAAGTTCAATGTAGACATAGCAAGGTGGTCATAAGCTGACATTAGTAACTACCAGTGGAATTTTGTTTTGTACCAGTCCTCCCCTGTTCACCTCCTCTTCAAGAACAATAATTTAATTTATTAGAAGGTTGTCTACACTTGTTCAGAAACATAAGAACAGTGGCATTACCCCAAATACATATTAGTATATTTCCAGTCATACAATTTCATACTCGATAATGATTTATAATCTATATTTTACAATAAAAGTTCTTTTGGAAATAGTTGCAAGCTTACAAACAATTGTTTCATTATACAAAAAAAAGCTATAATATGATTGGCTGTCCATTTGTTTACTAAGCTCAAAACATAACAGAATCAAATAAAAACTATCTAAAGTTCAATGTAGACATAGCAAGCAACGAGAATTTCAAATCATCATAAGTATGCACTAAAGTTAGGTTATAATATCACAGTTTAACAATATTTATAAAGAAATCTGGCCTGTGTACTTACTGTTTTGCACATATCATATATTACAAGAAGGTGGTTATGGTTACTAATGAATGCAGGAGTGTCCACTGTAATAAAGTTGTGTAATGCCGGCATCATGTCTATTTAAAAAAAGTTTTTAAAACATCACCTTCTTAGCATTTTTATAAAGAATGTTAAAGTACTGGACATTTTATTTTTAAACACTCATGAAAAGAGATTACAGGTTATTATTAACTTACAGCATGGTTGGTGAAAACACTCGTGCCTATAGATTACAAGTTATTATTAACTTACAACAAATGTTTATCGGTTCTTACTTATTTTTTAATTTTAAGGAAGAAAATTAAATTATGATCTGTATTTTGAAAAAATTTTTATTAGAAATTTTCTTAAAAAAAATGTGTTAAGAAAGTAAAAATTATAACCATTCATTTTTCAGGATTAGATGGCTGTGTTTGAAAAATTAACATTTCATACATCACAGTTCCTATAATGTGACGTGTACATACAACCTCAAAATTTATTTCTCAAAAAACACTTGCTTCGGTACATCTTAGAATGTGATTTCACAGTTTCTGTACAGGAATACCAACCAGTAAAATAGTCAAATCCGTTCTTCTGAAACGTGTGGTATATCATCTCAAAGACCTTCCACATGTCTGAGGAGACGTAGTTACACGTCAGGCTATAAACCAGTGACATGGCTTCTTCGTAAAATTCTGCAAGTCAAAATTATCTTCTCAAAACAGTGATTGAAATACAACAGCACAAACTTTCTTCTGTAACCCCAAACATGATCAACATTACAGTATAATCTTTCTAGTAGCATTCTCTAACAATTTTTACAACAACTTCCACAGTAGGCAAGTTTTAAATTTAACCAAAGTATCGAGTCACCATAGTTACATTAAAAAGTTTAAAAACACTACTTTTGAAAACCTACATTTAACCCTTTCGCCTCAAGCTGATGTACCTCGTAACCATGGTAGTATATATAACTCTGAAAGTACTTGTTGTATCTTCACAAAATTTGGCAAGATTTCAGTAAACTATAGTTTCATGTTACTACATATTTCTCTGTTATCAGTAGGTCTATAGTTTCATGGTTTTACCTATCTGTCTATAATCAGTGGGCCTGAATACTACATAACTATAGTTTCATGTTACTACCTATCTGTCTGTTATTAGTGAACCTGAATACTACATAACTACAGTTTCATGGTTTTACCTATCCTATACCTATCTGTCTATAATTAGTGGGCCTGAATACTACATAACTATAGTTTCATGTTACTACCTATTTGTAAGTTATCAGTGAGCCTTAACCCATTAACTGCGGCAGGAGTAGCTCAGTTGCCATTTTCTGACTCACTCCGAGTTGCCATCAATCACAATAAAATGGTAATTAGCATCATTCACATAGAGTTATAGTTATATATGTGCGACTGACGGATATTTCATTCATTCGCAGCTGAGCCATAGAACTTCAATAACGGAAATACCCGTCATCCGCAGTTAATGGGTTAATACTATATAACTATAGTTTCATGTTACTACCTATCTATCTGTTATCTGTGGGCCTTAATACTACATAACTATAGTTTCATGTTACTACCTATCTGTCTGTTAATAGTGGGCCTGAATACTACATAACTACAGTTTCATGGTTTTACCTATCCTATACCTATCTGTCTATAATTAGTGGGCCTGAATACTACATAACTATAGTTTCATGTTACTGCCTATTTGTCTATTACCAGTGGGCCTTAATACTAATTAATTATAGTTTCATGTTAATACTTAATGCCACAACATTCTGGATATATAGTAAATGGTTAAAATAACAAGTTAGTACCTCGTGTCATACCATGATATTCAAAGAAACAATGATTACAAGTAGCTTTTAGTTGCTGTAAATGTTTCTAATTTAAAGTCATCATATACTGAAAGGTAACTGAAAAGACAAACATTTCTAACAAACATTATTGTATGTGAAACTGCTGACAAGTGAAAGGAAACTCTGGAATTGGAGTTTGGTCTGAGGACCTTTTGCTCTACCAACTGAGCTAACTCATAGTAAAAGTCATCGCCGTTTCTTTTCATTTACAACATTTGTTAGAAAGTTCCCCTTCATTGATTCATAATATGAATTAAATATATTATGAGCATGAAGATGAAACTTACATAGAAAATCCAGCATTTAAATACAATAATAAATCCTGATATTTAAAACAATGATATGATTACAGCTAATTTGAAGTTAGAATACTAATATGTTCAACATTTACGTAAAGATTCCCATCCATTAAGATACTGGCTGTAATAAAACTGAAGTAACAAAAAAACGAACTGACCCAAGACTCCTTGCGAGAGAATAACACCAATGACGTGTAGTACAACAGGCTCTAGTTGTTTAGTGACTTCTTTCTGGTCTTCCATTACTGAAAGAATGGTGTCAATGGTGTTCAACACACCCATAGCTGTTATTGCTCTTTCATCAGAGTCTTCTGTACCATTCTCTATAACTTGAGTGAAAGTCTGGGCCTAACGATAAAAACCACAGACTACAGAACAGAATAACCAGGAAGTTTATAAAACCTAAATTAAAACCCATCTATGAAAGATGTTAAAAACAAGACTTGATATTTTAATAACTACAGAACCAAACCTTCTGGGTGATATTCTGCCAAGCTGAAAATAATTGATAATTATATCCTAGAAACAGCATGCCTTTTTCTTTGTATTTTATATAGCTTCAATATAAAAAAAAAAACAGAATTAAAATCAGTTTCTCCAGGAGAGTATAACCATTATTTCAACTCTTTAAACCCTTGATTCTTTAATAGATGAAACCAGGCAATTGTTTAACACTTACTGAATTATTATTAATAACTGACTAACACTAACATCTGACAGTTATAGAAGTGAAAACAGTTTCATGGCAAGCAGCATGAAAAACCAGGCAATTGTTTAACACTTACTGAATTATTATTAATAACTGACTAACACTAACATCTGACAGTTAAAGAAGTGAAAACAGTTTCATGGCAAGCAGCATGAAAAACCAGGCAATTGTTTAACACTTACTGAATTATTATTAATAACTGACTAACACTAACATC